GAGGCACAGGGAAGTTAGGGAACTTACCAGAGTCACTTAGCTGGTAAGTTAAGAGGGCCCGTAGTCTGTCTCTGGAGTCTGGGCCCGTAACCTCTAGGCCAGGGGCAGTGGTGCACCTCAGGCAACACTTGACAATGTCTGGAGACGTCTTAGTGGTTATGTTTAGGGCCTGGAGTGTTGCAACTGGCATGTAGTGAGTGGAGGCCAAGGATACTCATGTATAGTCTCTGGTACACTGATGGCCCCACAACAGAAAACGACCCAGCCCTCATGTCAATAGTGCGCAGGGAGAGAGACCTGCTCTAGGTTGTTCTGTTAGGAGCAGGACCAGAAAGCCTGGTGACCCAGATCCTCAGCCTCCCGCTGGTGTACTTGGGGGCAGCCCTTGAACCCTCTGCAGACCCAAGTACAAGAGTGACCACCGTGGTGACACAAGCACAGAATAAAGGACCCTGGAACGGACCCTGGCTCTATCCCTCCAGGTTGTGTGACTTTGGGCAAGTGCTTTATTCTGCTTCCTTGTCTGAGATATAAGGCAAACCCCACCTGAACATGAGGCATGCTGGGGCACCGGGGCGAGGGGGTTGAGGGCTGGGGAGCAGATGGCTTCAAGCAGAACCCCCTGAAAAGCTCACAGTGGGCACACACTGACCCGACAAGGAGGGACAGAACCTTCTGTCACCCTGAGATATGTCCGCTCTAAGACCCAGAAGCCAAACATGGGCTTCAGCTCACATTTACTGAGCCTCAATTCTCACGTGTGTACAATTAAGATGTAACCACCTCACAGGTCTGTTGTGGGATTTTTTTTGTTTGTTTTGTTAATCCTCACCTGAGGATATTTTTCCCATTGATTTTTAGGGAGAGTGGAAGAGAGAGGGTAAGACAGAGAACACATCGATTGGTTGCCTCCTGCATGAGCCCTGACCAGGGCCCAGGCCAGGATGAGTCTGCAACTGAGGTATGTGACCTTGACCGGAATCGAACCTGGGACCCTTTGGTCCGTGGTCGATGCTCTATCCACTGAGCCAAACTGGTTAAAGCTGTTGTGAGAATTTTTTTTTTTATTAAGGTATTACAAATGTGTTCTCATCCCCCCCATTAACTCCCAACCTCCCCCCCCCACACACACACTCACGTTCCCATCCCCCTGTTGTCCATGTCCATTGGTTTGGCTTATATACATGTATACAAGTCCTTCGGTTGTTCTCTTCCCCTTACCCCTGTCCTCCCCTACTTCCCTTCTGGGGATTGATAGCCTGATCACTGTTTGCTGTGAGAATTTTTAAAAAGGAATTGAGTCTGGCGATTCTTCAAAAGGTTACATAGTCACGTGACCCAGCAATTCCACCCCCAGGTGTAGATTCAAGACAGTGTGACACTCGGGGGCTCTCTGATCTGGCTCATGCTTGGCCTGGCTCCTTGACCTCATTTCTCCCTTGGGAACTAGTTTCACTTTTGCTCCTGCAGGCAGTATAGAGTCCCAGACTGATATAACTCTCCTTCTCCATTGAGGATTTCTGCTGGAGCCCAAACCTTTCTCAAGGTCACTATCTCCCCTTGCTTTTCCCTGGGGCAGGGATCAGCACACCTGGACCCAAAGGCAGTGCCTATCTCTGAAAATAAAGTTTTCTGTTCTTTTGTGGCTGCTTTCACGCCAAGATGGCAGAGACTGTATGGCCCACAAACCTGAACAATTTATTATTTGTCCCTTTACAGAAAAGGTCTGCTGCCCTGGC